CGCGGGCGGCGCCGAGGGCTTCCACCTGCACGGGGTGAGTCGCCCCCGCGGCGCCGGTGACCTTGGCGGGGCGCCCGCCCGGACGCGAGGGGACGTCTGACCGCCGGCTCGAGGGTGTTAGCGGCGGGGTCTCGGCCCCCCGAGAGGCCGGGGTGTGCCTCCTTCCGGGTGGGAGCCGCCCGCGGGAGGCGGCGCCGCGGCTCTCTGGCCCCCGGCCGGTCTGCGGCCGCCGTCGGCCCGGCGCCAGCCCCGAGTGCCAGCCATGCAGGAAGCGGGAGCGTTTCCTGGTCCGGTCGGGCCGCCCGGAATGGCACTTCTCCCGGGTGAAGATTACTCCAGGTCCAGCCGGGACGCACGTGTGCGCTTAGGTCGTATTTGTGATCGCCTCCTTGCTGGGCCTGGGGAGAGAGCCAGCAAGGCCGAGACCCTAGCTCCCCGCCCTCGGGTCCATGGAGTCGGGGTGGCCAAGTGGACGCCGACTGCCAGGGAGCCTGCCGGCGCGCATCCCGCCGTCTTGGCGTCGGACAGGACTCGGGTCCGGGGCTCGAGGAGCAGTGCCAACCAGCCAGGGAGAGCCTCAGCAGGAGAGCCAGGAGAATGCCGCAGAAGGCACGGGGGGCGAGCGTTGGCAGCAGGGGAGGGACCAGGAGGTCTGGACAACCGGTTCTGGGCAAAGGGGAGACGGAGCGGAGTTCCTAGAGTCTGAAGGTGAGGAGAGGGCCCGCAGCCAGATGGAGAGTTGGGGTGGCTTTGTGTACTGTGGAGGAGGGAGAGGGGCAGGAGGGTCTCCGAACCCACAGGGCAGCGAGGAAGGACCTCGTGTTCTTCCATGGGCACCGTGGATGGATTGCAGACCTGGGTGTAGGGCGGCAAGCTGGTCAGCTTGGTGCCTGGCTGCTGAGGGGAAGGCTAAAGGCGGGGGTTCCTAAAAGGAGAGCCAGGTTGGCTTCAGGGCCCAGAGTTGACCGAACCCGTGTTCGGCGATGGGCTTTCTCTGGTTGGCATCACGGTGAGGCAGGCACCTGACAGAAAAGGTGCACAGTGGAATGCATCCCATCAGGAGAATCTTCCAGCAGGTTGATGGAAAGCAAAGAAACTGAGGACTTGGCAAGAGGGAGAGGTGGGGCAGTGTGGGGGGAATGTGGGAGAGGGGCTGAGTGGAGAGGTGAAGGGATTGGAGGGCTTCCATCCACAAAAACAGGTATTTTCGAGCACGTGCTCTGGCAGGCCTAGTTCTGGGTGCCAGAGATAAAGCAGCGGACAGAATGGACATCGTCCCTCTTCTTATGGGGCCTACCCTTGGTTGCTGGCGCGGAGAGAAGGGAGACAGACGAGATAGAAATACAAATACATGGTAGGCCGTGATCAGTGCTGGGGAGGAGAAGAAAGTAGAGCATGTGCGTACAGAGGATGAGTGGGTGCTGTTTTGGATAGAGGGGTCAGGAAAGGCCTCACATCAAGACACCTGGGAAGGAAGGAGTGGACAGTACAGATACTTAGGGGAAGAGCGTTCTAGGCTGAGGGAGGCCCTGAAATGGTTTGCTCCGGTTGGATCGAGGAAGAGCAGGAGACGAGGCTGGCGTGCATAGGTGGGGTGGCTCGTGTGAGGAGGACAAGCGGTACAGGATGAGGCCAGGTTCTGCGGGGGCCTGTCGTGCCCCAAAGATCTAGGATTTTCTTCTGCCCCGTGGAGCCATTGGGACGTTTTCCGCGGAAGTGTGACATTACCCAGTTACATTTTTTAAAAACTGAAGAACACGCGTGCCGCCTTCTGGAAATGCTGGCATTCTCGCTGTGCGCCAGGCATGTTGGGAAAGTCCCTGCCCTCAGTGAGATTAGAGGCGTGGAGGGTCCCCCCAGGAAATGGTTGTTACCTGTCTGTGCAGGCTCTGGGTTGGACTTCCTGGGCTCCGATTTCTGAATAATGGAGTACTTTTCCTCCTGCGGAAGTCGGTGCTAGTAAAAGGGTTAAATGCAAGGTAGGGCAGGTGGCGCAGTCCCCTGGGACCGAGCCAATCCTCAGCAAGTGTCAGCTGCTATCCCTTTAATTACATTAGATCCCCTGATGGGGAAATCAGGTGGAAAGTGTTGTGAAAGCAGCAAGCATCGAGGGGCTGTGGGGTGGGGGTGATGGGAGCCCCCAAAGGAGAGCCGGACAGGGGGCAGCGCTCGTGGCGGGAGCGGGGGTGCGGTGGCAGCCGCCTAGATTATTTCTGCGCTAGAGCCCTAGTGGGCGATGGCAAGGCCCGGGGCCAGGGCAGTGGAGTACAGCCAGGGGACAAGGTCACGGCGGTGGGTGGGGAGAGGGCCGTGGGATTGGAGGCCTGAGCCTCTGGACCTCAGTAATGATGGAGGGCAGCTGCCAAGGAATAACTGAGGAGGGCAGCGGGCCGGCAGCTGGGTGGCTCTGGCCTCGGCAGCAGAGGGAGGCAGAATGGCATGAGTAACTGTCCAGTGGCTTTCAAAAGACACCTTGTCCCAGCTTGCCCATGAAGAGAGAGGGTCAGGGCTCAGAGCTCCCCTGTCGCAGGCCAACTGGGACTGGAGTCGGTTTCTGGGCTCACTGTCTTTGGAAGCCATGGCAGCTTCTGGGGGTGGCAAGCAGGGGCTCAGTGGGTGGTGACCTAGCTAGAAGGGCGTCCTAATTCCGGGGGCGAATTAGCCTGGATCCCAAGGCTCAGGGCGAGCTCTCCTTCAGCTTGGGGAATCCAAGACTATAGGGGCTGGTGGGTGGCGGAAGCCACAGGGCCTTCCCATGGTGGGGGCATCCAGAACCTGAAGACACGTGAGCCCTGTGTCCTCTGGGTTGATGGCTGACCAGCAGGACATCAAGTGCTCACAGCCAAAGGCCTGAGGGTGTGGGGCCCACCGCAGGGTCCGGCCCTGGGGATAAAGGCTGCATTGTTTGAGCAAGGCTCTGTAAATGGGGCCTTTGAGATGGATTTCTACCCCAGCTGGGAGGCCTGGTTGCTGTGTGTTTGGAGACAGCAGTGAGTTCCGGAGTACAGGGTTGGAGGCCCCTTGGGCTAGGAGCCGTCCCCACACAGTAGTGGAGACTAGGCTGTGAGGCGGGGATTCGGCCCTGCTCGTGGGGCTCCCAGCTCAGGCTCATCCCTGTCCCTTGCGTCTGCTTCCCTCAGCCACACTCCTCAGCAGCTCCCACGCCTGCCCAACTGAGCTTGATCTGTCACCACAGGGTATCTGGGGCCCTCTGGCATCTGGCCACAGGCTGCCCACCCTCTCTGTCTTTCTGAGCACAGCCCTGGTCCCACCTATCCTGGGGCCCTCCCTTCCTGTCCACATCGAAACCTTTCTGGTAAACCTGCTGGCTTCCCGGTGGCCCCAGCTTCCCCACAGGCCTCTGCCACCGTGTGTCTGTGTGGTCTACTAGAAGCCCCCGGAGCTGCCCTGGGCTCTCCTGTGAGGAATCCCTGGAAGCAGGATGTGTGGGTCACGATCAGACAAGAGCCATTTCCTAAAGAGGACGGTCTTGCCCAGGAAGGTAGCAAGAAAGGATGGAGTTACCCTGACAGTGCCCACGTGGGGCCTGCCTGGAACAGTCATGCAGTGCCCGGGTCCTTGCTGGGACAGCGGAAGTGGTGATGGACGGTCTCTGACATTGGGGGCGGGGGGGTTTCTTGGGGAGTCACGAGGCTGATGCCGTGACTGCGGCCTCTGCTGTGGGACAGGTGCAGGAGAACTCCCCAGCCCAGCAGGCGGGCCTGGAGCCCTACTTTGACTTCATCATCACCATCGGGCACTCGAGGCTGGTGAGGCTCCCGGTGCTACCTGCCGTGTGTGTGTGTGTGTGTGTGTGTGTGTGTCCCGGTGCTACCTGCCGTGTGTGTGTCTGTGTCTGTGTATGTCTCCTGTGTGTGTGTGTCTGTGAGTGTGTGTGTCCTGTGTGTGTGTGTGTCCTGGTGCTACCTGCTGTGTGTGTCTGTGTCTGTGTGTGTGTGTCTCCTGTGTGTGTGTGTGTGTGTGTCCCGGTGCTCCTTGCTCTGTGTGTGTGTCTGTGTCTGTGTGTCTGTGTGTCCCGGTGCTACCTGCCGTGTGTGTGTGTGTGTGTGTCCTGTGTGTGTGTGTGTCCTGGCTCCCAGTGCTACTTGCCGTGTGTGTGTGTGTGTGTGTGTCTGTGTGTGTGTCTCCTGTGTGTGTGTCTGTGTGTCCTGGTGCTACCTGCCGTGTGTGTGTGTGTGTGTGTCCTGTGTGTGTGTCTGTGTGTCCCGGTGCTACCTGCCATGTGTGTGTGTGTGTGTCCTGTGTGTGTGTGTGTGTGTGTCCCGGTGCTACCTGCCGTGTGTGTGTCCTGTGTGTGTGTCTCCTGTGTGTGTGTGTGTGTGTGTCCTGCTGCTACCTGCCGTGTGTGTGTCTCTGTGTCTGTGTGTGTGTCTGTGTGTGTGTCTCCTGTGTGTGTGTGTCCCGGTGCTACCTGCCGTGTGTGTGTGTGTGTGTGTCCTGCTGCTACCTGCCGTGTGTGTGTCTCTGTGTCTGTGTGTGTGTCTGTGTGTGTGTGTGTCTCCTGTGTGTGTGTGTGTCCCAGTGCTACCTGCCGTGTGTGTGTGTGTCCTGTCCCACAGCAGGCCCCACCCTGCTCCTGCCTCCCTTTTCTTCCGGAGGGAGGACCAGCCCATCTCTCCTTATTCTAGGCCTGTACTCAGCTTGATGGGGGCCCTGCCCAGTGCCCAGCTCCTGAGCTTTCTGGGGTGGATGGGCGGTGAGGGGGCTCTTGGAGCTGGACACGAGGTCTAAGGGGCCTGCCTCTCGGGGCATGAGAGGTGTCAAGGTGGCCAAGGGGCTGCTCAGAGAGTCAGAGAGGGGCAGCCCTGCGGTGCTCTGGATTGTATTTTCCGGGGGGCTGAGGGAGGCGGGTTTTGTGGTGCTTAGGGGTGGTGGGGGTTGCGGTGGTCGCAGGCCCAGACCCTGCCCTGGCCCACGCCCACACAAGACCCTGCTGGGGCAACTGGTCACCTGGGCCCTTCCCCATGTCAGACCCAAACTTGTCTGAGGGGCCCCAACCCGGGTTGGGGGTGGGGCTCTTGGCGTCAGCCCCGCTGCCCCCACAGAACAAGGAGAATGACACGCTAAAGGCCCTGCTGAAGGCCAACGTGGAGAAGCCCGTGAAGCTGGAGGTGTTCAACATGAAGACCATGAAGGTGCGCGAGGTGGAGGTGGTGCCCAGCAACATGTGGGGCGGCCAGGGCCTGCTGGGGGCCAGCGTGCGCTTCTGCAGCTTCCGCAGGGCCAGCGAGCACGTGTGGCACGTGCTGGTGAGTGGGCGCAGGCTGGGCGTGTGGGGCTGGCTGGCGGCCCGGGGGGTAAGGGTGGGCTGTGGGGGCAGCTGGGCGAGGCCAACAACCAGTGCTCCTGGGAGAGGGGTCCCAGAGGGCCGCTCATCATCCCCCGAGCTGTGCACCCTCTTGTTAGCCAGGCGACTTGGGGCACCTTCTCACCCTCTAAACCTTGGTTTGTTATTTTGAAGGGTGGGCTACCATCTACCGGAGGGAGGGGTGCTTGTGCTGCCAGAAGGCTGCTGCTGCTGGTCTTTATAGATCGTGTCTTTTCTGGTAGGCTCTAAGGTATACCAGGATCCAGGCGTTTCTAGCAGGTCCCCTGAGAGCCCCTTTGGGCCTGGGCGGGTGCCTGGGGGCTGGGTCTTCCTGAATCTCAGTGATTGAGTTGTCACAGATGTTGCTGTTAGTGTCTGTTCTCACACACACACACACACACACACACGACACGTACATTCTTTGATGGTGCCCCCATTGTTGAATGCTTGGTCCCAGGGCTTGGTGGAAGGAGGGTGCCCTGAGCTGGAAATGGACTGATTTGATTTCTAGCCTCCTCTGTTGCTCACTGACTTCTCGTGGGAGACTTCTCAACCTTTCAGCCTTCCTCGGTTTGTCCATGAGTGCAGTGGGGGGGGTGATGAGGCAAATGCCTTTGCATTTCTCGGGGTGACTGGGAGATTGGGAGTGGTAGAGTTTCCCAAGGGAGGAAATGATCCTTGTACCCAGTTCTGCTCCCTGCCCCTGCCTCCAGCCCCTAACACAGGGGTCTTCAGCCATTTGCCTGCACCAGTAACAGCACAGCAATTGGGCACTTATTGTGGGGCCAACCTGTGGTTTTCATTCTTTACCTATATTCTATTTTTAATCTTCTCAGCAACCCTATGAGGAAGTACTGCATATCCTCCTTTTAATTGTGGGGAAACTGACGCTAGGGGGTTAAGTATTTGTCCACAGTTACAGGCTAGAGGTTGGTGGAGTCAGGATTGAACCCAGATCAGATTCCGGAGCTCGGGGCTGTGAGCGGTGCCGTGGTGCTGCCCTCTGCTGGGCAGGCTGTGCACCTGCGGGAGGTCGGGAAATGAGGGAGTGGAGTAGGAGAGTCTGGGCTTGAGGTCCTGACCTGGAGCCCAAGGACAAGTGTCCCGCTCAGTACCTAGAGAGGCAACCCTCAGTACCGCCCCCGCAATGCCCAACTCAAGGAGCAAGACGGGTAGTTGGTGATTCTTTCCCCAGGACGTGGAACCTTCTTCACCTGCCTCCCTTGCTGGCCTGTGCCCCTACACAGACTATGTGGTTGGCTCAGACCAGATCCTCCAGGAGGTGAGCAACCTTTGGTTTGCCCTCCCCAGGCCCCCCGGATAGGGTGTGGAGATGGGTGCTGTCCATGAGAAGGGCCTCGTTTTGTCGAGGCCTCCAATCCCAGTGCTGGGAGCGGGGCTCAGGCGCTGGCTTTGTCGTAGTCCGAGGACTTCTTTACACTCATCGAGTCCCACGAGGGGAAGCCCTTGAAGCTGATGGTTTACAACTCCGAGTCTGACTCCTGCCGGGAGGTGACTGTAACTCCCAACGCAGCCTGGGGTGGAGAGGGCAGGTACTTCCTCAGTCGGAGGGCGGCTGGGTGGGGGCCCAGTAGAGCCCTGGCTGGACCTGGCCACTGGACATGGATGCCCAGAATCCCACGGTGGGGGGGCGGAGGCAGGGCTCTGGGTCCAGGGATCCTGAGGATGACCACTGGTCCAGGAGGCACCCTTTCTGCCCCTCACGGCCAGGAGTGGGTGGGGTTGGCAGGTCTAGGAAGGGCTATGGGACAATCCCCTGGATCGAATGTTTCTGGACTTTGGCAGTCTGGGCTGTGGTATTGGCTACGGGTATCTGCACCGGATCCCAACCCAGCCTCCCAGCCACCACAAGAAGCCCCCTGATGCCCCGGCACCTGGTGCCCCACCACCTGATGCCCTGCCTCCTGATGTCCTGCCTCCTGATGTCCCGCCACCTGGACCCACCCCCCAGGACTCTCCTGCCCCTCCCGGCCCAGAAATAGGCTCTAGGCAGGATGACTACATGGAGGTACGAGGGGAGCATCTGCCAGTGAGGGGAAGGGGGAGCTTCATACGGGCAAAGGGGCCTGGCACCTGGGAAAAGAGGACTCAAGGCTGCTGTCACCAGGAGCCCATTTGTGGAGCCGTTGGGAGGCTTTTCTTGCTTCTGGGACCCAGCGGAAGCAGGTGGTCCCATCCTGGGACAGTGAAACTCACTTTGGTTCTCCCGCCACTTGGGTCTGGAGGTGAGGGTAACGGCAAAGCACTAGTTGTCATTTTCCTTTCATGAGCGGGAAATGGAGGCTCAGGTGCGCAGAGCCTTGTGCTGTGCCTCAGTGAGTCTGTGGTAATGCTGGGCCAGAGGCTGGGCATCCAGAGGCCTCTTGTGCCTGACTTTAGATCCCCTCTAGGGGAAGGGCAGGTCCCCATGGCTGTTTGCTCCGTCACGCAGAGTGGTACTTCCATGGCCAGTGTGGGCCGGGGTTGGACTACTCTGTCCCGACTGCCCCTGCCCTGTTCCCTCCTTCTTCCCTGGCCCCCGTAGGCTCTGCTGCAGGCACCTGGCTCCTTCATGGAGGGACAACTTTCTGAGCCTGGGAGTCCCAGCCATGGTGCTCCAGACCTTGGGGGATTCCCACGTCCTATGGAGACTCCTCTTCAGCCTCCCCCTCCAGTGCAGCGCGTCATGGACCCAGGTAGTGAGCGGGCTCTGGAGAGGAGGCTAAGGTGCTGAAGTGGGCCCCAGGTTGGGGGCGAGGCTTCCGTGGCAGCGCCAAACCTTCCTCAGACCTGCTGATGCCTCCTAGCTCATATATGCCCAGATGGTCGCAGATGAGCCGGTCCGACGTGCTGATGGAGGCGGGGGGGGGGGGGGGGGGCACTGCAGTCCACAGAAGGGAAGCAGCCTGCTCAAGGTCACGCAGCAGAGTGGGGACAGAGCAGGGTCCGGGCCCTCTGCCACTGTGCTGTTCTCGTTCCTCAGCAGCAGGCAGTGGGGACCACTTTGGGGTTGGGTGGGGGCACCCCCATGGGCTGAGATTACAGTTTCAGGCCGGGCCAGGCGCCCCAGGAACGGGGCTGAGTGAGCCCAGGGTAGGGGCCTTCCGGGAGTCCGGGTTTTGTGCTGGCGAAGACTTGCACCCTTCCCCTAGGCTTCCTGGCCGTGTCGGGTCTCTCCTCCTTGGAGAGCAGCAGTGCCGGTGTCTGGCCCAGCCTGCCCTCGGCCACAGAGCTGACCTGCACAGCTCTCTCAGCCTCCGGGCCCGAGGACGTCTCCAGCTGCGGTTCTCACGAGCGTGGTGGTGAGTGGCCCACACCTGCGGAAGCTTTCCAGGAGGGACCCTGCGTTGTTGGCAAGGCGGCCCTGAGTTGCTCGGCTGGGTGGGAGGCTGGCTTTGGGTGAAACACAGCCAAAAGCTCCTTTCCCCATCAATGCCTGGAGTTGGGGGGGTGGTGTCAGTGGTGGCTGCTCCGGGCCACGCCGGCCCGGGGTTCTGCAGGCCTCCTCAGCCCCTCCCTGTATGTTTCAGGTGAGGCCACATGGTCCGGATCAGAGTTTGAGGTCTCCTTCCCGGACAGCCCAGGCACCCAGGCCCAGCCAGACCACCTGCCTCAGCTAACCCTTCCCGACAGCCTCACCTCTGCAGCCTCACCGGAAGAAGGGCTGTCTGCTGAGCTGCTCGAAGCGCAGGCTGAGGAGCCGGCAAGCACAGAGAACCCAGATTTCGAGGCAGAGGCTGAGGAGGCAGCCAGCCAGGCCCAGCTCTCCACCCCTGAATAACGCCCTTGGCTGTGTCGAGGCCCCTGATGGCATTTCGTGAGGCCTAGATGTGGGGAAGCAGCTTAGGCCACACTCCGTAGCCCAGCCCCTTGCCTGATCCCGGCCCAGCGTGCAGCTTCCTAGGCAATGGCTCCCGGGATGTGCAGGGACTTCTGCGGCTGTGGGGGGTGGAGGGGGGGGGGGCGCTTGTGTGTCCACATAGACCCTACTGGTGTCCAAGAGATGACCTACCAGCATTAATTGTGCCTGATGGTCCTGGCTTTGGGGAATCGTGCACTCAGACAAATCCTTTTGGGGTGGTGGGAGGCTGGGAGCAGCACCCAGATTAAGTTTTGCAGGAGCTGGGGAAGGAGAGGAAAGGACTGTGCTGCTTGGGTGGGGCAAAGAGCCTCAGTGGGTAGAAGAGGAGGCCATGGGCCAAGGGCATCTGTTGGCCACGTACCCTTGAGTCCAGTGCTCGCTCCTGCTTTGGTCACTGTGGCTGCCCAGGAGGCAGCAGGGTCCACACAGGGTCGTGTGTGCAGATGGAGTGAAGGAGGAAGGGACAGGTCTGGAGTGTTCGCCTAACACTTGGCAGGGCATGCCTTGATTCTTGCGCAGCTCAGCTAGCCCTTGGGGACCCCAATTACTGTCTCCTCTGTCCTGTGCCCTCAGTCTCTATGCTGCCCTGCACAGTTGGCTCCGGCAGGCTGACGTCTGCCAGTCACAGCCGGAGGAGAGAAGCAGTGACCTTGTCCCTCTCTCCTGGGAGAGGAGGGTTGGAAATTCCGGGCCCGTCAGCAGAGACTCACTTGTCCTTGGACCACGATGTTCCTTCTTCCCCAGGGTCTACACTCCACAGACCCAATATCCCTAGTGGTGACTCCTGTCAGCTTCCCAACTTCTACAACCATCTCTTCTAAATAGATACAAGGCATCCAGGCAGCCCCAGTGGTGAATACAAATGGCAAATTTAAGCTCACCATCCTGACCAGACTCTCAAAAGCCATTCCTGACTGGATCTCTTTACACAAAGCTCCCACCCTAAGGGGGAACGAGGGACCTGGACAAGAGTGGGCAAGGGCCATTCCGTTCTTTCCCAGAGTATGGAAGGAGGCTGTTCCCTCCACCCCAGGTACCTGGAGAGGCTAGGACTAGGCCAGGTCTAATGCTCTACCTGGTTCCTGCAGGAAGAGGAGGGCTCCACACAGTAACCAGCTCCCCATCCCCTGAAGTCCCTCACCTGCCCACTTCTTGCTGGTTGCCACGAAAGCCGCCTCTCTGGCCTTGTCTTCTAGCTGCTACCCAGTTTAAAGTCCGACCTTTGCCGCTTGATCTGTAACGTGTGCACTTAACAGCATTCAGAGTTCTGTTAGGCCCATAGGACAAGGACTGTCTGCTCTGGAGGGCACAGACCAAGTATATGCAGGGAGGGCCCCCAATGAGCAAACACTTCAAATTTCTAGCACTGTGACTGCAATCTGAAGCAAGGCCTCCTCAAGCCTACCATGGCAGCTGATAAGCCTGCTGAACAGGGAGGCATTGTGTCCGAAGCCAGGGCTGGAGCTGGGTTCTGGGATTGTCTGGGAGCCCAGTGTCCGCCTGTAGGGATCCAGGAAGTAGAAGAGAATCACCACAGGACTGTTCTGAGGCCACCTTCCCTGAACTGCAGCCTGGTAATCTGGCCCAAAGTCACCCTCACCCCAGGATTCTGGCTCTTCCCTCCCTCACTTTGACACACTCCCCGCCCTAACCAGGGGGATAAAATGGGTACTGATGCTAACAATTGCCAGGGTAAACATGGAACCAGAAGTTTCTCTGTAATCTGCTATGAAGGAAAATGACAAGTGAAAGAAATAAAGGTGTACTACACTTTGAAATATTTTAACTAAAGCCTTTATTCTATACAACTGTGAAATACAGATTTTTACCCTTTTGGCATTGCAGACTGTCAAATTTTCTGGAAACTTACTGGTTTGACTGGAAGGGAAAAAAAAAAGCATGCTGAGGGTCAGATCTGACAGGAAGGGAGTGCAGCCGCCCCTCAAGGCTCGGCACACAGGGCAAAATGGCCCAGCGAAACCCATTCCTTTAGCCTAAGGGCCCCTCCGGCAAACACAGCAGAGGGCTGGTAAGTGAGTTGTAGGATTTTTTTTGTTTTTGCCATTAATTCACAACTATTGCTAAAAAATGTGCACCAAAAGCGCACCATTGTATCCAACAGATAGAAAGGATTTTTAAAAAAAGAAGCCGGTTGCTCTCTGTGTAAGGGGGAAAGACTCATTGGAAATGTGGTACATCTTTGCTCACTTCTTCCAAGTGCTGGAGGCAGTGACCTGTCCACTTTCCAAAGGAGGCTGACCAGCAGTGAGGGAACCCTGTCTCTACAGTTGTGCAGGTAAGAATATCTCAAATAGAAAGGTCTGGACCCAGGCCCATCAGCTGCCTCCAGCTGAACCTGTGAAGATGTAGAAAAGAAAAAACCTTCCCCGCTCCTTCCCAGTCCCTGCTGTTGTGGGGACGGACCGCACGTGAGCTGGGGAGGCAACTGGACTGGAAAAAACTGCCCTCTGAAGGCACTTGTGCTTTTGGCTTCCTACAGGAGGCTTGTCTTAACGTAGTTTTACAGCGGTGGGCCATTGTTCTATTCTGAATACAAATGACCTTGGGGAGAATCCAAAGTATTTTTTTTCCTGCCAAAAGTTGAAGTGTTTATCCCCAATAAGTTATATTCTGTACAAGAATCAAATGATTCTATGAAAGCTTCAGATTGTTAGAAAGAACAACGAAAAGAGCTCTGGATACAGGTACCACAACAAAACCTGCATATAAAACTCTGGAGAAAACAAATATGTATACTTCCAGGATGTGAATATCAAGTTAACTCACTAGGATATCCTTTTTTCTCTGACACCGTACATTTTAGGTAGCATTTAAATGAAGCGAGTATCTCCTCGTGGTCTTCAGTTGCGACGGTGTCGCAATGCTCACCCAGAGCGCAAACCTGTGGCATCACGTGGCTTGGCCCCTCGACAAAGCTGGACACGGCGGGGCAGGGAAGGCGCTGCACCTGCCCGTGGCTGCCGCACGGCTGGGGGCACCGTGAGGGTGCGGCAGCCCTGGGCGCTGCTGGGCGTACTCCAGTCTGGCGGTCCAAGTGCTACGTTCCAGCACCCAGAATTTCTACAGGTCTTCCTAAAAGAATGCATCTGAGATGCAATATTAAAACAAGCCCAACAAGGATAATTTATTATGAAATGGGCTGGCTCTGGAATTGTACAACAGCAGATTCCTATTAAAAATAACTCTTAAATGTGAGAACAACTTGCTTGTTTTTAATGACCGACTTGAAAAAAGCCTTCATATGTGCTGCGTGAATGGAATGTACTCTCTTAGAAAAGCTCCAGAGCATGTGGGTTTGAAGTTGAAACACAGTGACAGATGTGGCTCTACCTATGTGTCTCTAACAAGTGCTAACAGACAAAGATAAGGTCCTTTGAAACGAAAGGAGGAAGCCAAGTCTGCTGGCCTGCCGTCCGTTCTCTACATCTCACAAGACACAGTGTGCTTGCGGGCTGTTCTCGCATTCTCTGCCTCCCTGGGGACAGCTTAATCTACACATGGAGACTGGTTTCTATTTTACATCGCTATTAGTCATTTCAACTGAAAGAGAATCTCGGTCCATACCAAATCAGCCATTAGAAGTCTTGCTCCCGTTGGGACTCGGTGGGCTTCCTAGGACTACTCTCGGGGCCATAGAGGAAGGTCAGTAAATGAATACCCAGGAGCGCTCACCCACCCCTCACGTGGACTTCTGACGGTAATGGAGGGTGAGGTCACCACCACTCTTCCATATGAAGTGCTTCACTGTTCGGAGGTCCATGTTTGGATCTAAAACCTGAACAGCAAAAAATAAATAATAAAAAATGTCAAAGCCTCTACTTTGTAATATCCGAGACCTTTACTGCGAGCTTAGGGACGCTCATCAGGGGATCTAGCTCGTCCTCTCGCCCATACCTGGTGGCCTGCTCTTGCTGACAAAGCCCCCACGCACGCAGTCATGAACGCGGGCACTGAGAGACGGGCGGCTGGTGCGGCTAGGCCAGAGATCCCAGCTTCAGCCGTTTCTCTGAGGAAATGCCTCAAGTGCATCTTTATCTAAAACAGTTCCCCCAATGCTCCACCCACTTCCACTTCACATCCTACACCAACACGGCAGATACTGCTCTGCCGATCAAGGCGATCATGTGTCTTTTTCTTGTCAGGAGAAAAAAAAAAGAAAGCCACCAGCACATTCACCATTTGTGTGTGCATTTCAATCTCATATCCTTTTCCCGAGAACCTCACTGGGATAAATAGAAACTTTAGGATGGGCTGCGGGACCCTCCAGAAAGGGCCTCACCAATAGGTGGGAGAGAGCCAGCACTTCCAAAGGTAAGAGACATGGGAACCATAATCACACCACATGTAAGTTTCTGAGCATCGGCACCGGAAAAAACGGGGCCGTGGTCCTCAAGTGCACTTACCTGGTCCTGGCACAAAAGTTCAATTTTCTCCTCTGCCAACACAGCAATATCCTCTTCTTTTTCCTGTTCTCCTGGTTTTTCATTATTAGAAGAGCTAGTGGTTTGCGACTCATTATCCAAGTTGATGATTTTCTCATAAACATGTTCCATTACTTTCCGGACTTGGAGCATGTCACTAGCAGAGAGTCTATCCCTGTAAAAAGCAAGGGCAGATTGTGCCATCACGAAATCACTGGATACTGTCTCTTAAACATTCTTTGGTGTTCACAATGGATGAAGATAAAACAGCACAGAAACATAAACCAAGAAGTGTTTTTAGTTACTGCCTTAATCTAGTTTTAGAATTGCCAACACATTCCCATCGTGTTCCCCTAAGACACAGATTAAGTGTAAAGTGAGATTAAATACATGTTCTTAAAACCTACATATACATCAAGAACAGCCTTCTGGGTTTTATTCCCTTAAAGACGATCCTAGAGCATGGGCAAACTAAATGCTCCTGGCAGGGAAGGCAGCCCCCAGTGTTTACCAGGCTCCAATTCCTCCGGTGCTCATCTCTCCTACGGCTCTCGGCCCTACAGCCAAGACCTCCTGCCTGAACTCCAGGCCACAAGCCCAACAGCTGGCTGGGTATCTCCAGATGGACATCCCACAGGCACCTCAAACTCTACCTGTCCCAAACCAGATTCATCAACTTCCTCACCCCCAAACCTACTTACCTTGTATCGCTAACGTCAGTTAAAAATGGCCTACCCAAGTAGCTCAGGCTCAAACTCTGAAAGCCATCTTGAACTTCAGTCATTAAATTTAGCTGAATCTAGGACTTGCTTAAAATAATCTGGGGTGTGTGTGTAGGTGGGTGGGAGGGAGGCGAGGTAGAGATAGAGATGAAGCAAAGTGTTCAGCCATGTGTCGATAACCCTGGAGCTATCTGATAGGATAATGGGGAGTTCATGCTCCTGATCTCTTTTTTGTATATGTTTGGAAATTTCCATAACAAAAAGCTTTCAAGTCTTGTTGATTTTACTTGCTCGGATATATATCCATGAGACCTCAGCTTTCCTTTCCCACTTCTGGCCACCCATCCATCCTCTGCTGTAGCTACACTGGCCCTTGTTAATTTTCAGGATCTTGTGCATGCTCCCACTTCCACATCCTCAATCAAACCATTTCCTGGACCTGGAATACCTCTCTTTTGAAATTCTATCCATTCCTTACATGTCCAGCTCAAATTCCATGTCTTTCAAGAAGCCTTTCTGGAAAGCTCCAGCCCACAATTCATTTCTTTCACCTACTCTCATCATTCCCTAAGCATCCATAAGAGCAGTTTTTACACACAGATTGTGTCCTAAACTATGCTGTGGCAAAAGACAAAAACCAAGTCTTACTTTTTTGAACATCTGTGGCCTACCACAGGAGGTACTTGGTAAATGGTAAATTGTATAAGCTTTTAATAGATCTCCTTTACTATAAAAGCAATCAAAGAAGAAGAAAGCTCTGGCAATTAATTAGATCTAGATATCACGTGACACTGCCCTTACTTACTTTTTTAAGGTTTTTGCTCCCGAAGATGCATGAGGTTGGAGGTAGAAAGGAATTTTGTTGAATTTGGGCATATTTTTCTGAAATATTAAAAGTAGAAAGGTATGATCATTTTGATTAGCTGATGAATGAAAATGACGTCAACAGAAAAACATGATTTGCAAGTTAAGTTATTTTACAATTAAAACTGACTTTCTATGAAATGTATAGTAAGCTATCAAATCATCCAAGTCAGCCTTAGTGAAAATTTATCAGAAAAGTATCATGTTTAGTTTTGAAGTAAGAGATATGTGAGACAAATGATACGTCAGTGGCAATATGAAGCTGCAGGATGCCTCTTCTCAAATAACAATTCAAGGTATTAAAGGGAAACAAATTTTAACTCTTAAAGCCCTAGAAATAAAAATCTCAATTCCACATTAAAACATTGGGGCTGATACCTAAGGGCCCAAATACAAAGTTCGGTGTCTTGAGAGAAACCCACAACATTCACTTTTTAGCAAAACCATACACTCTAGGCTGGTAAAGCCCATCATCCAACTGAAAAGGCCACTCAGGTCCTCCCACTTTCTTTCCCTCTGACCTCAGGTCTGAGGTTTTAAGCAAGAGTGGAAACTTCAGCCAACCACCAAGATGTCTACCAGGAAGTAAACCACATACTTAGATGAAGGATAAAATTAACTGGTCATCTTTTCTCTGGGTTTTAATCCCCTCCAAGCCTCCATGTCATATCCTGTCTGGATGTCTCCTCTCAGGAATAAGCCACAGGCCTAAAGTCAGCAATGCATCCCAGGTGACTTTCACACTCAAAG